CCCCCCCCCTGCTTGACTAGTTTTGATGGTGCCTGGGGGGTGGTAACTTACATTTTTTGACCCCCTAGGGGGGTACCCTAAAATGTAACTTACTTTTTTGAGGTCCCCCCTCCCGGAAGTAGCTTAAGAGGGTAGGGATGTTATTTCCTAGGTCATCGCTTAATTTAAATATCTTTAACCTTGATTTAGTGACCTCGGGCGGTCGCCCCCTGTCGCTGCAGGCACTGCAGGGCGCAGGCGAGGCAGGCCTGGCAGGGGACAGACATTCGGGAGTTCGGAATAGTTGAAGGAGAAAACATCGAATCAGTGGGTAACTTTGGGCCTTCACCGGAGTGACGAAACTGGAGTAGGGGCAGCCACTGGTACCCAGGCTGACTTCTGTGAACAAAGCCTTGTACGAACAACTGTGAGGGGATTCACACGAACCTTTGGACAAGCGACAACGACACCTGTCTTCCAGCCCGAAAACACCAAACCCTTGCAGATGCCATGGGCCTTTTTCACTCACTCCTTCTTTGGTAAGTCGGGCTTTGCACTGGGAACTGCCGCCCGTCTCAACCGCTTTGGACTTGGCCGACTTGCATGCTCTGCACGGTGACTAGATTGTTTGATGCTGGCTGCTTTTACCAGGAAACCGCCCACGGAGCCCAAAATCCAAGAAAAAAACTTTCCCGCTCAACTTGCTGTTGACTCGATTGTTTGATGCTGGCCCCTTCGACCGGGAAACGGCCCATAGAACCCAAAAACCAGGAAAAAAATTTCCCGCGCCGGGAAAGTATTTTTTCTCTCCATGCCCGCCCCGGCTCACATGCCCGACCCTGCTGCTTTCTGAGTGGCTTCGGCTGCCCTCTTTACTTAAGCTTGGCTAGCCACGCGATACCATCCCCCGTCTCTAAGGTTAGATCCCCTAAGCAATACCGGTTCGAATCCTCCTCGCCCGTCTTTCCTGTCCACGTGCCCTGGCCCGCGCCTGGTCAGCAGCTGGTGGTGCTGCTGCTGTTGCTGCTGCTGTGGAGCGCTTGCGCCAGTCTCAACCACTCACACTGTGGAACTGGCATTTTTGGGTGGCCAAAATCAACCCTAGTTCCAACACGTTGTTATTCTTCAAGTGTTTTTAGTCAATCTTCGGCTGAACCCATGACCCTTTCGAAAGCTTTTCACCCGGATGGGTCACCAGACTCCTGGGGGTTTGTTCTTTTTTTACAATAAAGTATGGGTCTTATTTTCAAACTTAGGTCGTTATTTCCAAGTGAGGTCGGGTGAGGTCGGGTTAAATCGTATAGAATGCTTGCTTCCTTGTTTCGCACGCACGTGAAAGTTTGCACAAGCCGTCGCAGAGACACCCTCGCGGTGAACATCAATGATGGCAGCCATCCAAAGCTTAAAATATCATAAAATATCATCATAACTTCCCACACAGCAAAAGCCGAACCTACTTTGCATTGACATTCAAGGGACTGCGCAGAGTTGTACAGTGCTCCTCAACATGAAGTCCAACCAGTCTTTGCCTTCTCACGCTGTTCATTTGGTATTTGTGGCACAACCGTGGACGGTCTGCTTCCTCCGCGAAGAGAAGGCTCAGGTCTTCCGTACCACAGTACAAGGCAAGGCAAAGGTGGCAAGCCAAAGCTTCGGGACACATTCTTCTGTCCTGTGGCATTTTCGTTGAAGACTTCATAAATCAAGGCAGCTCGAAGACCCTTGCCTCGCCAGTGCAAAAAATGACACACTCCCAGTCAATTCCAAGTCAATCTGCCTGCAAAGTTAGTATCCAACTTCTTCTGGGCACGAGCCACTTGCTGCTTGTCCATCGCTTGATTCTCCACCGTTGCCTCGGTCCGACAGTGGAGGTCGCAGCAAAAAGAACATAGCATAGCTGATCAAAACAGTGCGACTGTGCAATGGAGACTGATAGTTGACTTAATTGCTATCAAAGTGGCAGAAGCCAGAAGACTTCGAAGCCCGAAGCCCCCTTGTCGATTCACGTTGACGAACCTCTTGCATCTATCCGATCTATTCTCGTCGGAGCACATGTCCAGGCCATTGCTGCAAAGAGAACCCAAGAAGCATCCCTAGAGTTCAGGTGAGCGTCTTGCTGCGTGCTGTTCCTAAAAGAAATACGTTGCACATGCGGCTAAAGACATGCTTGTCCACTACTAACGCCTTCACACTATGTGACGTTCTGCTTGTGCATTTTGTCAGTAGGCCTGTGGCAACACCCGAGTGTGCCTATCATTTTGTTGTACTTACGAATCTACTCGGAGCTTTCAGTCCAGCCAATCCTCTACTGTGGTGATCATGAAACAAAGAAGTCACCAGTAGTACCGTCTCACAGGGATTTGACCAGAACGAGTAGTCCGGTGAATCTCAAGGATTGGAGAGTTCAGGGCTACACATGTTTTTTTGTGATGTGCAAAATTCCAGCTGGTCTCACGGATATTTTTAAACTAGTAGCTAGAAGCTACTAGGTGGAGGCTGTCGCTATTAGGTTGGAGGCCATTGCTACTAGGAACAAGAAGCTACTAGTAGCTAGAAGCTAAATGCTGAATTTGCACCAACTGCCTCGGACCCGAGCATTGGTCTACAGCGAAGTGTAGATCACAGTTCATCACAGTGAAGGAGCAAGAGAAAGGTCCCAGAACTTTTCAATTTGTCCGCTTGCGGAAGAGAAACTCGCCATGGAATGTTGATGAACTTTGGGCGCTTCCCAGCGAGAGGTGCCATAGCATCGGGTGAGAGGCTTCAGCATTGCTGGAAGACACTTTGCCTTCTACATTTGTCCAAGCCTGTTTGACAGCGACCCTCGCAACAATGTAAAGAATAAAGTGTATGTTCTCACCCCGAATCAAACAACCAGAATCAAACATGACGATGACAAACCGAAACGCATGATGTCTGGAGCTTTTTCAAGCAATGTGGGGTTGGCCAAGTGAACACCCAGCTCACCTCTGCCCTTTGTTACATTCTGTTTCTCGGCCAAATCTGAGCAACAAGCCATGCGACTTACTAAGGGACTGCAGTAGTCAGTAAACACCTTCCAGCAACAAAGTAGCAAGCTTAATCAACGCCATCACAGACGCAGTGTTGCTTGCAGCACACAACAACTGTTAGCTTCCCTGGCGAACAGCAGGTTCTACACACATAGGGCTATTGCAAACGCAATGCTCACGATGTTGCAAACATACCGTCTCCCAAGCTCTCACTAAAGTTCCTGAGCTTGCGGAAAGAGCAATTGTGGCGTGTCTGATGTCCCTCCACCCCGCCTAATTCTCTTCCTTCTCTCGCATGGCTTTGACCAAGTCAGATTTGTACCTTGGCGCAGATCATCTCATCAAACCTCCTCTCTGTTGAACACTGAAGTCAAGCAGCATGAAATATTGACTTGAAGGAGAGCAGTTTCGGTAGATCAACCGGCAAATCTCGTTCTCCACATCAGACTGCGGGACAGTGCAAAACCCCGCAGCCGCATCGCATCCAGCAGTTCAATTATGAAACATGTCCTTCTCAAGGCACATGGAGACCGCTAAGCGAACTTGTCAATATCCTTCTCTCACTCTTGTTTCAGCAAAATGCATAGAATGCAAGAATGCACATGCTAAATCTGCTAAATACTTGACTCGGTGGCATCAGGAAGAATGACCTCAGCATCTCCGATTGTGTACGGATAGGTAGGGTAGGAAATGGATACACTCAACATCTCCTTGTTGTTTTTACATGACACCCTGCCTCGCTTCCGACAAAATCCACCAAGCCCAACCTTGGCCGAAAGAACTTTCCGTCAATCTCATGAACAGCTCGCAGCCCACAAAACCTCGTTCAAATTTTGAAGAGAGAACATTGATATTACTTTTTGAAAATGCTGAAAAAAACAAGAACAATATCTGTCTTGCTTGCATTGCTAGCATCACTCAAGTTCCCTCCATGTAAGGAAGCTTCTGCCAATTCTCACGTCATTAGCCTGAACAACTTTCACTTGCCCAAACGCTCAAACGACTGGTTTCTTGGAGCCAAGTTAGAAACCTTGGAACTGGAACTTCTAGCCACCTCTCGCCAAAACCTCATGGAACCTTTTCTACGTCCTTACAGCTCACTGAACCTGCCATGGCAAGAACCGACTCAAGCTTAACCTCTGCTGGCCTACGCTACCCTGGAAACTATGTGTGCGGAACAGTTCAAATCAAAGCAACAACTGGAGCCATTTGCACTGGGTATCCTGCCGCTGCGCTTCACTAGCATCAATAGGATCACCAACCAGTTGCAGCCGACGAACCGCCTCAACTGTGATTTAACAAATGAAGAAAGGAATTCAATTGGATGTCAATTCCAAAATTTAGTCTTTGCAGAGGGTAGTTACAGGTAGTTAAGCAAGCGTGCTTGTTGCCAAATAAAGGAATGAAACACAAATATATAAGTTTCTCTCTATCTCACCAAATTGACCATGCGAAGGGTTGAGTCCCTGCCGCCCAGTAGCTTGTGTTTCGCCAATAGCATATCTACGGCAACTTACCAGGTAAGTCCTACCTCTTCTCCGCTTAGTTTGTAAAAAAATGTAATTTCTGTAAAGAAATAGCAAGTAACAAGGGTGGTTAAGTCCATCTGTAAAGAACACTTTCAATGCCTTGTCCATCAGCCGCTTCTTCAAGGCGATGCTCGTGATGGGATGCAAGTCATGTCCTCGGTGTGCAAGGTCACCCGAGTACTAACAGTTTTTGGCGCCCCGAACTAGCAAGCTCAGAGACACACTGTACTTTGGCAAGCCAAACCTGATGTTCACAAAGCTGATGCGCATTCGAAAGAGAATACAACCAAAGGCGAGCAACGAAGAATCCTCTGTTGCCACAACTAGCTGTGATAGCGCCGGCAATGTCATGAGCGAAGCCCGCACTGGGCCCTGCAACTAAACAAACACAGCAAACCTGCAAAACACACAAACAAAAAAATTGGAACCATTAAAAACTCCAAGATTTACAGCTCCGCCTTGCAAACGCACACAACAAACATTGGCCGGCTCTCGGTGATCTCATACACCTGCTTAGCCAGAAGATCTAGAAGCAACTGTCACAGCTTGCAACACACCATCATTTTGATGTCACTGCTCCAAAATCCAAGTTGTCTCTGTCAGAGACACGTATCATCTTTCCAAGTGTACTCACAATCTGCCTCAGCGAGCAGTGGTGACTTCGCCAAGTACCCGTCCTTCAGGATTACTGGTTCGAGGAAAAAAATGGTGCCTGCTTGTTGATGATTCTAGTTGTGGACAAAGTTCCTTGAGAAACCACATAAGGGGTTCTGAGCATCCTGGATGTCCAGACTAAAAGGAAGCCCAAAAGCTCAAAGGTCAAAGTCGATGATCGCGATGTGAAAGGATGACGACGAACGTGCACACCTGCAGAACTCATTAGCTCTTTACAGGAGAGTAGAGTCACAGCTTGATCAAAAATTCGAAGGAAAGCAGGTACGTCGGTGAGCGTCCCAACCGATATCAGTGTTCAATGCAAGCCTCTTCGTTGGGCTGGTACTTGCATGAACAACCAAAAAAGGTTCCCTTTGATTCCAGGCGTTTCACAGAGAGAGAGAGAGAGAGATGCTTTTCTAAGCGGGCACAACGTCGAGATCCGCCCGGAGCCAAGTGTGTGGAAAGAAGGGGCTTTCTTCATTAAACAGCGCCAAATTTAAAAGAGAGAGGTGGGGAATACTCCAAATTTAAAAGAGAGAGGTGGGGAATACTCCTTGGGGAATACTCCTAGTGGGAGCAGGAATTTGAGCAGCAAACTCTCCCAAACTGACTCCGAAGTCTTCAGAAGCAGCAGAGGACATAAATTCAAAGCCCCAACAACTGGATCTCCATGCCCCATTTGGTCGCCCCAATCAACGAAGCGCGTTGACAATTCGCAAAGGGCTTACAGAAGGAAAGCAAAGAAGCACACTGCTTTCTCCTGGTCGTGCGCGGCCTCATCTGCTATTCGCAAGATAACAATCCCATCGGCCAGCCTCAAAAATTGCAACACCCACCCCCGCAAGTAATTTCAGCCGTAAGCCTCAAATAACAAACTAAAAAGGATGTTTTAGTACTGCTTAAACAAAAATGACATGTATCAAAGCAGGTCCTGAGCACACAGCGACAGTAGTTGTAGAAAGCTATTCCAAGCATCTTTGCTCTGAACTGAAGGAACCTGGAAAGCACCAAAGTTGATACACAATTGGCAAGTCATTTCACAAAACAAACCTTGCCCAAGGGTTGCTCCACACAAAAATTGAAAATTACTGGGTCACGTTGTGAGGGGCTGCCTGTCATTAGAACAGCCCATGTCACTGTTTGCGGTTGCCCACCTCAACCTGTTGACTATCGGAAGCTGCCCTAATGCAGTCAATACCACATCTCAGACCTTCATCCAAGTCATTGAACACAAAAGGAGACCCGTCATTCACCTGCAAATGTTGCTAAAGAACTCTGGGCAAAAGGGTAGTAGTAGCCCGGAAAGAACAGCCAAAAGAAAGAATCAGGGATGTGTGTGTGTGTTCATATCAAAAGGATGATTGGTTGCAAACAACTGTGAAAGTTCAAAAACCCAACCATCAACGCATTCGACCCGAAGACCCTGAAGAGGAAGGTAAAGCCGTAGGCAAGGCGAAGCGTGGCGATGTATATAGACCAAACGGTATATCATGTATGTGAAACTCGAGCACTCTTCAATCAACCAAAGGCTCGTGGCAATGCGCTCACAAGAAGAACCATCTTGACATCTTGACATGTTTTTCTTTGATGCCGTTTGAGAGCAGTGCTGGCCGGCTACAAAACAAAGAAGAACCATCACTCATGTAATGATGACCCCAAGCATGTCAACCAACTGTGAAAGGTTTGTCTGTAAATCCGGAAATGCATGTTTTGCACTCAAATGAGGAAACTCGCACCTCCAATGTCATGCAAGTCAAGCCAGGAACATCAGCCTGCAACCATGCAACATCAAAAAGGACTATATATGTGAACTCAATTGATCTGCAGGCAGTATTCAAAATCATACATTAACTGCATTTGTTTATTTGCAAAACAGGCCCAATCGCTTGTTGTCTACAATCAGATGTCCGTCTTGCAGTTTCCATGCAATATTTTCCAGAATTCCAAAATCCCGTAGGTTCATTCAGGACAAAAAAATTACTGTAATGAAAAACAACATGTGTGCCTTGAAAGCTGGCAAGTGTCCTTCATCGTCTTGGAGGTCACTCTTAGAGGCCTCAAAACATTGCAGCGAAACTGGAAAAGGATGAACTACAATAAACCACACGAAAATGCAAAAACATGCATGGGTTCTGACGGTACAGAAGTGTCTTCACTCAAGTTGTTTCCAGGCCTGAGTTTTGGAACCTGCCATTTGTAGCAAGGTCTCATTCTCTGAGCCAACATAGCGACAAATGTTTATTGGCTTATTGGCCGGGACAAACAGGCACTGTGGATTGTGGACATGTTTTTGGTGTCACGCAGCGTTACCACCGTACGCTTTTGCCGCTTTTGAGCAACTGTTCCCAAAATGAAATGCATTTCAATGCTAGTGGGTTGACAACCGCGCTAGGAGTCGTGAGTCGTGCACTCAATACCAAACCACGACGACTTTGTCCGATGTTGTTGCTGCGGAGTGCGCAAAGGTAGGGCTGGCCTCCAAAGCAATGGGGGGTAACAAACGTGGCCTCAGGCTGATTGGGCTGCCACGCACTTTTGCTCGCGAATGCTTGGGCCAAGCTAATGGCCGCAGTCAAATCAAGTCTCAACATGCAACCTCCTCACACCACCGCCTGTCAGATCCCTAGAAGGAAGTGTTGACTTGACGGCCGGTGAATTTGGCCTTGCGGCGCAGCCGCCGGCGCTGACGGAGCTCCCGTCCGTGAGACTTTAGCGCCGCTTCCGCCTGAGTCTCTTTGAGTGAGAGCACCCCACTCCGGCTGAACTCTTCCCACAGCACGTTGTGGAGGCTCTTCGTCAGCCCGTCGGCGTGCTGCCAATGGGAACATGTCCCGTTGTCTGGAGGTGATCCTAAAGCGACTTCGCGTCTGTCACTTCCACCCCATGCAGCAGCATGCTATGAGCAACCTGTTGTACAGGCGCCTGTCCGCGTCAGCGGCCATGCTGCTGCACACCACCCTTGTGGAGCGGTTGGCGCCAAACTCGATCACTTCCGACGGACAGGGTCCATCTTCCACTCCCTCAACGGCGGTCATGAAGTGGATGAGCCCCAGCGGTGAACGTCCATCCTTCTCTTTGCCCAGCGAGGCGTCGAAGAAGTGGGTTTCCCCTCCACCCGGCCTTGCTTGGCCTCCTCCAGCATCTTCCCACGCAGCTTGACTGCATCGCGGAAGTCCTTGTGGGTAGCGCTGCTCATCCTTTACGCCAGGCTGCTCACCTCATAGAGGCATTGTGGCATAGTCTGCTGCGCTGGCCACCTCAACCTCATTACCAGTTGCCTGTATCAATGGCGTACCGTGTCTGCTTGATGCGTTGGATGTGCGACGCCATCGTATCCACCAAGGTCTTGCCGTCCCACTTAACTTCCACTCCCAGGAACGTCATGGGAACCTTCGACCATGCCTTGATTTTGAACAGGCTGTTGATCTCCTCTTTGAGCTTCCGGAAGTGGGGATCATGGTCGTCACCCATGAGGTGCCCATCATCTACATGCACGCAGAGCAATGCCCAAGCCACAATGGGCTCCTGACGCGCTGTTGTTCCCAGGGACAGGCGTTCGGACATATATCTGGCGGTCTGTCTGGCTGTGGCGACGTCAAAGGACAAAATCGCCCACTGCCGCATCTGGGCAATCATCTTGGCGATGCGTGTTGCCACGTTGCTCGTGGTCGGGGCGTCAGTCCGAAAATCGCCAATGACTTGTCCACCCGGACCATCCTCAATGGGGACTTGAAGATCTGATAGCGGGGAATCTTGTGTTCCTCATGCTTGGGTACCCGCTTCACAACTTGCTGATCTAGCTAGCCACTGCTGCCATTCCTTGGCGTCCGACTTTCTAAAGGCTGCGGCCTCTTCTTCATTGAAAGCCTTGGGATCGAGCTCCTTGGGGAGGCGAAGCTTAAGAGTTCTTCCTTCCAAAGAACCCAAAGTTGTGGCGCTCCTCCTCCGTCAAGTTAGACCTTGAAAAGCCCATCCGGGTGCTCTATATAGATGGGGCGCAACTTTCCTTCAGAACACTTGTTGCGGACCAGCAAGGTCATACCGCGCCACAGGAAGGAAGCCTTCCTCCGTGGATTTGCTTGCACCTCCTTTTCATTCTCTTCAACCTCAAATGCATTCTCGGGGTCCTCACCGATGAGGATTGATACCCGTGATCTGCTGACCATCTTGGGTGGTTTCATGCACCGCTTGCGCGGCTTGCGATGCTTGCGATGGATCCGCACTGCGGACACTGGAAGTCCGGTGAGTTTGCGCAGCAAATCCAACTCATACCGGCTCACCCATTCATTTGCAGGGCCGGGCCAGGTTCAGTGGTTCCAACCATGGCCTGTACCACCGATGATGCATTGATTCTTGGTCGCTTGAGCGGCAGCTCTGGTGCATCGGTTTCAAATCTTCTTTTGATGAATGCCGGCACGTCATCCATCAGTCTTCTCGTGCGCGCTTCTGGTTCCATCTGCTCCCATTCCTGTCTTGCGGCTTCCACCACCAGCTCCGGTGAATCCCAATCTCATCTTCTGGGACAGGAATCTCATGAGCCTCCGGCACCTTTTTCTCTTCCTCACCGACTTCACTTGGTGAGTACTTATTGGAGGTGCTTCAAACTGCTCCCTCCATGGCTCCGTTGGAGTTTCCTCATGTGGCGCTGCCACAGGGTCCGGCTCAGCCGGTGCAGGCAGTTGCTTCTGCCACTGCCTTCGGAGCGGCTGGTTCTCCAAACACCTTTTCCTTCTCTGTCCAATCATCCCTCACCGGCTCAGTGAGTGACAACTCTTCCTTGGTGGCCATACGAATGCTGTCCTTCGCAAAAAGCAGACTGTGCCTGGTCCTCGCCAGGTGCTCCCTTCTTTGTACCGTGTCTTGTTCAAAGCCGGCGCCCAAAAGTAGACCTGGCTGCCAAGGCGCTTGGGAAACCGCTGGTTTCCGTAAGATGGTTCGCCGCATCTTGTCGTTGATGTCCTGCCTGCGACCCGGGCTGTTATGGGCATGCGATGCGCTCGGGCCACTTCAGTCTCTGTGTCCAGGCTTTGGACTAAGTTTAAGCCAGGCGTTTCCTGTCAGTGGGTTACTGTTTCCTCTTGTAGCCCCCAGCTCGTTCACTGCCGATTGCAATGCATGACCAATCCCCAGTTGCCACGGGGCGTGAGCTCCAGTCTGATCAAGAACTGTTCCAGCATCATCACGAATGCACCTTCAAATTTTCTTCCTTGATCATGGCAGAGCTCCAGATGGCATGATCCACTTCTTCAGGAATTTATGGGCGATGTAGTCACTCCGCATGGTCTTGACAAGGTGAGCATCGTGCTTAGAAGGGCCCAAGTCCAAAATGGACAAAGCTGCATACTTCTTGCCACGGGCATCCCAGCAAGACTTGATGTCCACATTCAGCATCACATTGAAATGGCATCCTGACCATCCACCACCTTAGCGGCCTCATCCAGCTCCTCATCTCCAACAAAGACTTCGTCACTTGTGTTGAATTAGTCCTTCAAGCCTTTGAGGAGTGCGTGCACAAAAGCTGGCGCCTGAGCGATGGGGTTCTCTCCCACTGCAACGTGGCCCCGTCGCCGCTGCCAAAGCACAACTCGGCGTGTGAACGCCGAAAGGTCCGCTTGGTCTCAGCCCTCTTCAGCTGCAGGGCTCTTCGTTGCGCTGAGGTGCGCTGGTTGGTCTCCTGGGAACTGACCACAAACCGCATGGCCATGCGACCATGTGTGAAAACACACGGACAGCGCAGCAGGCCTTTTCTCAGTCCGGTTCTTGAGCCAAAAGCCCAGCATTGAGGCTCTCAGCAAGGCGTTCACGCAGCCAAAACTAGACATAAATCTCCAACTCTTGAGCTTTACGATCCAAACACTGAGAAAAGGAATCCAAAACACAAAGAGGCACCACTCCTAGAGCAAATCAAATTCAACATCATTGTACAGAGCTACATGCAGGGAACCTTACTGCTCACTCCTAAATTTTCACACCTCACATTACCTACCTCCATGGAGCTGGACCTTTTGTGAAAACACACCTACAGCGCAGCAGTCCTTTTCTCGGTCCCGCTCTTGAGCCGAAAGCCCAGCATTGAGGCTTTCAGCAAAGCATTCACGTAACCAAAACAAGTCACAAGTCTCTCACTCTTGAGCTACACAATCCAAAGACTAAGAAAGCTCTAGGTACAAGAACCAATTAAGAAGTCTACCAAGACCAATCTGGTTGAGCCTCTCCCAACACAAAGAGGCACCACTCCTATGGAAAATCAAAGTCAAAATCCCTATACAGAGCCACAATCCAATCGACAACGAGTGAAGCAAGGATCCTTCAGACATCTCTTGAAGTCACACGGGTTGACTTCTTGGAAATCTTTGGTCATCAGTGGGATCCTTGAACGACAACCGTTCACGCAAGGTTGCAGGTGCAAAACCCTAAACCCTGAACCTCAGGCAATAGGGTGATATTTTCCTGAAAATTTTGGAGTTTCCAGGCGGCCCTCGACAACACTGCGTTGCCGGAAATTTCCACGCTTTTCTCCCAAACATTGCATCATCAGCATCACAAACTCTTCAACACTCAGAAATGTTGTGATGTCGATGAAGCGAGTTCACAGTCTTCTGGTCTTCCTTTTGAAGACTTCTACGAAATGTGAAAGATCGAAGTTTTGTTCATCTTGTGCGTGAATCATGGACAAGCATCGAATGATTCGTCCAAGATCTGGAGAATCCACCTGAAATCCAAGCGCATCTGGAGCGCCGCTGATTGTTCCAAGAGGGACACCTCCATTGAAATCATTTTTGGTCAGCAAGTTCTCTTCACTGAGTTGAGGGACTTGAGAGATCGTCTTTTCCACCGTGTTGACGACACGGTGCAGCAGGCTAGTGATTGGAACATCAACCCTTGAAGCTCTTGAAAGCACTGAGACACGGCTGAGTGGCCTCATCCAGTGTTCATCCCAAGGAAGACACAAGATTTGCATGCACATGGTCCAGCGTTTGCATTCGTCAGAAACTCATCAAATGAATTTTATTTGCACGGGTTGGGCTGCCAGTTATCGCAAAGAATGCGAAGGTCAGATGTGGAGATTAAAGATTTCCTGTCGACAAAAACACAGAACAGACCCACCCAACCACCCCCAAAACACAAAGACCCCAACCAAACAACCAAACAAAGGACCCCAAACAAAAACCGCAGCACAGGTCAGACCAGAATCTGATTGATCTCTTGGAGGCGATTTCTATAA